CCCCAGCTTTAAAGTTTCTCGAGGCTCAGGCTCAAAAGTAATATAATGCCACTTCCACCACTTTCTATTCGTCTAGTGGAGTCACAGGCCAGCCCAGACTCAAGGAGTGGATAGAGGCCTCCTTGGGGGGGCAGCAGCAAACAATTTGTAGACATTGAAAATCTACTTCAGTTTGCTAATATTTTGTTTGGGATTTTTGTACTTATGTTGATAAGAGAGATTGGCCCCAAATCTTCCTTTGTCACACTGCCCGTGTGCAGTTTATGAATCAAGGTCATACATTATAGAAAGAGTTGGAGAGTTTTCATTTCTATTCTTTGGAAGAGTTTGCATAAGATATCAGTGCTCTATTCCTTGAGAGATCTGTGCCTTGCCTATAAAATGTTTTTGGCTTGGTGTGTTTTGTTTTGTTTATAGAAATATTAACTACCAATTCCATTTCTTCAGTAGGACCATTCAGACTTTCTATTTCTTCTAGATTCAGTTTTGTCAAGTTATATAGATATACACACACATTTTTGTAAGGAATTTTGTTTGCATTTTCAAAATTGCTATCATCAGGATGCCTGGGTGGCTCAGTTGGTAAGTGTCTGCCTTTGGCTCAGGTCATGATCCCAGAGTCCCAGGATCGAGTCCTGCATTGCTCAGCGGGGAATCTGCTTCTCCCTATGACCCTCCCCCCTCTCGTGCTTTCTCTTTCTCACTCTTTCTCTCTCAAATAAATAAATAAAATCTTTAAAAAAAATTGCTATCATCAAGTTGTGGTCAGTCTTCTCCTGCCTTTCCAATCACTGGGTCTGCCCCACGTTCTTCCTCAATTTTTGCCTTCCTTCTGCCTACCATCTTACTGGAGGTTTGTCTACAACTTTTGGCTTTATTGATCCTGTTTTATGTTTACTACTTCATTGATTTGTGCCTTTTTAATTTTTAAAAAATTTTTAAAGTAACCTCTCTGCCCAACATGGGGCTCAAACTTACCACCCTGAGATCATGAGTCACATCCTCTACCAAATGAGTCAGCCAGGTGCCCTGATTTCTGCTTTTATCCTTATTATATCCTTCCTTCTGTTTCATTTGAGTTTGCTGTCTTTTTCTAACCTTTTAAAATTGGCATAGTTCATTAATTTTCAGCTTTTTAAAATTTTTCAATATAAGCGTCTTAAGGCTATAAATTACCCCTAAAAAACCACTTTGGTCGTCTCCCACAAGTTTTGTTCTGTAATTCTATAGTATTTTCATTGTTGTTGTTATAAAATATCTTTTTTTTAAGATTTTAAGTACTCCCTACACCCAATGTGGGGCTCTGAGATCATGACCTGAGCCGAAGGCAGACACTTAACTGACTGAGCCATCCACGTGTCCCTAGTTTTGCTTATTTTAAACTTTATATGAATGTAATCATACAGGACATACAGGACATTTTTTGTGTCTTGATTCTTTCCCTCACTATTATGTTTGTGAGATTCATCCATATTGTCAGATGAGCTGTGGCATGTTCATTCTCATTGTTGACCAGTATTTTGATGTGTAGAAATATCACAGGTTCCTTATCCAGTCCACTGGAAAGGGATTTCTGGCTCGTTTCCTGTGATCTCTATGATATAGATGATTTGAAATGTGTTAAAATTTGCCTTATGACCTGATATGTGACCAGTTTTTGTAATGCTTCATGTAGGCTTGAGAAAAATATTAATTTCCTGATGGTTGGGTGTGTGGTTCATGAATATTCCTGCTCCTTTTGTCTTAACCCCAGGCTGTCTCAGTCATGTCCTTTTGTTTTTATGACCTGCTTGGCCTCTATAGTTTGAGTTTGTCATGTCTGGAAACCCTTTGGAGTACATTTTTTTCTAAGAGACTTTCTCCATAGGGCTTGAACGGTGGCAGAGAGCAGGATGCTCACTAGCAGGAATGACTTGCCAATGATTTCAGGTGGAATGTCACAGATGTGGGCAGTGCAGAGGGTGGGAGTCCTGAGGGCTTGAAGGTAGACCCTCTACGGGAAAGTGGGAGCACGGGGAGTGGGAGAGGGATAAAGCCTGACTTCGTGTGAGGACTCTTGACATGGTTCTAGGGTCAGAGTTGCTGTCATCCGTCTGCTGGCCCTTTGGACCACTCGGCCCCTGGCATGCTTTCCAAGTCTGTATCCATGAGCGGCATCAGTTGCCTCTTGGGCTGCTCTGATCCAGCTGGTGAGTGGGGGTGGGGAGTAAGGCAGTGGGGGCCCCTTGCTCTGTCTGTCTCGCCACCAGCCCTCAGAGCCATCTGTTCAGAGCCCGGATGTCCTGGGTTCTTTTTAACCGCACACCCTTGGAAACAGCAAAATGCCTTTATTCAAATGAGAGACCTGAATTCAGGACTTTAGCATTCTGAGACCCTCCTTCCAATGAAGGAGGACACAGGACAGACTGTGGCTCCCCAGCACCCCCTGTCCCCAGAGATGGAGGACAGTTACCTGTAACGCACCTTGTCCTCAAGATGAGGAACTGGGAGCTGGGGTGAAACCTCTGCTCTCTTCGTTCAGCAGAGACAGAACTGAGACATCAGGCCCCCAGGCCCCTGCTCTGCAGAGCCCTCCTGCTCTGTTCCCTGGCCCCTGAGCTCTTCAGCTCTGCTCCACTCAGACCCCACCTCCCTCCCTTCTCTGCAGCACCAGCCCTCAGGAAAGGCTGCCCAAGCACCTGCAGCTTGGGAACCTGATCTAGGAGGGGGTGGGGGAGGCAGCCCTGGACGCTTCTCTTCTCATCTCCTTTTGTGTCAGCAGGGAATTTCTACCAGTCCTCTGCCACTGACCTCAGCCAAAGGTGAGTTTGGGAGACCCGCAGCCCTTCAAAGGCCTAACTGGAAGAGGCGCAATGGGACTGGACCATGGATTTTGTAACTCCAAGGGTCTCTGCTTTTTGAAACGTTGCTCCCCTTAACATTTTTTTAAGATATTCTTTATTTATTTAGAGCAGGTGCACATGAGCGGTGGGAAGGGGCGGAGGGAGAGGGAGGGAAAGAATCTCAAGTAGACTCCGTGCTGAGTGTGGAGCCCAATGCCGGGCTTGATCCTGCAACCCTGAGATCATGACCTGAGCCAAAATCAAGAGTGGGACACTTAACCACTGAGCCACCCAGGCGCCCCTCCCCTTAACATTTCTGATCAAAGGCTTCCAAATTTCCTTCTCCCTGAGCTTCGCAAGAATTCACCCTCTTATTCATTGGCCAGGGAAGGGTTAGAAAGTTCCCAGTAGCCCCCCTGGCTAGTAAAGCAGTTGGGGAAAGAAACGTTGTATCCAGACCCCAGGCTGTCCGATGAATAGGACAGTGGCACTTGTTTGCTGTTGTCACTGACAGGTGAGTGGGCAGAGTGGCGGTTGGACAGTCTTAGGGGGAGACGGTGGCCCAGGACCCCATGGACAGCTTTGGAGGTTCAGATAACTGACCAATGGGGAGTGGCTCTGGCGGGGCGGGGTGGGGAGGGCAGGGGCTGCAGGCCCAGCTCAGGAATTGCCTGGAGTCTGGGAGATTTCTGTAGCCAGGAAAATAAGCGCACAAAATCAGCACCTGTTTATTTGGCTTCTGCAGCTGAAGCCTGGTTAGAGTGGCCCGGCTCTCCCAGACAGTGCGGCTGAGTGCACTAGCCATGGCCCTTTAAGTTGCCAAGCTCTGATTTGTGGTCCTAAAAATCTCTAGCTGACACATCCTCCTGGCTCTGGGTTTGGGATTAGCTCATGGGATGGGGCTGATGAAATCCCAGGAAATCCACTCCTTATTGGCTTTAGGCCCAGAGGCCCTTTCCAAACAGTGCAGAGGGTCGTACACAGGCTCTTGTGTTTTGAGGCGAACAAGCCCTTCTGGAGAGCCCTCACCCCATATCTGTCATTGGGGAGCAGCGCAAGAGGAGACTGGGCCTGAGTTAGGTAGGAAAGGGGGGAGGAGCCTGGAGTTTTTCTCCCAGATTGAGGGGCCTGGCAACAGTAGGTCACAAACATCTGTCCACATCCGGGAGGTAGGGGTGGGCTGAGGGGTCTCCATCTCCAGGCCGTCCTCAGCCCTCCTTTCTCCCCTCCCGGCCAAGGCACCTGCCTTGGCCCCGTCTCTCTGGGAACATTTTGTTTCTTTTTCCCAGCTCCGTCTCCACCTCCTCACCTCTTCTTTTTCCCTCCGCAGCTGTAGCCGACTGGAACGGGGCTCAGGAATCTGGGCAGGCTCCCCACTGCAGCGCACCCTCAGCTTCCTCCTGGGCATGACCGGAAAGGCCAAGGTAGGAGCCGTTGGGGAAGCAGGAGGCCTGGGCCCCCCTGCCCTCCCTGCTTCCGTTCCTCCTCACCCCCATCCGCTCCCCTCCACAGCTTCCCAGGGAGACAGACACTCAGGACAGTGGTTCACATGCTAGCTCTCCCAGACTCCCTCCCTGTGTCCCGGGGCGTCAGCTTTCCTCTGCTCTCCCCATACCTCCAGCTCAGCAGCCAGCTTCAGCTGCGGACAGCCGGACCAGGGGAAGGGCAGGAGCTTCAGAAGCCGAAGGGCGGCCCAGCCCTCCCTCCCCTTAGGCCCCCCCGTAGCTACAGAGACGGGCAGCAGAGATCTTAACTGTTGGATATAATCATGATCATAATTATAGCAATACTTTTTACTACTCTGGAGAGTATTAGGGTTTGCAAAGTGCTTTTACACTTATAATTGTATGGGGTGGATGTGGCAGTTGAAGGAGTTGGAATCAGGCCACAGGCAGAGGGGAAGCCTGGAAAGTGTACGGTTATGGAAGCACACGAACACCCAGGTGTGTGGGGCTATGTAGGGTTCCGACCCCAGGAAAGTGAAGGTATTCTGCCCTCTCCCTTATTACCAACCCAGGGCTCTGTGAAACCGGGGTCTCTGCCCGCTGCTTGAATGCATTGCCATTTTCTTCATTTACTGGCAGAACGAGCCACCCCCTTTTCCTCTCAAGGCCTCCCCAAGTATGCAAGTACTTTCCAACCTGGGGCGGCTTCTGAGCATTGAAAGAAGCCCCAGAGGAAACATCCTCCTATTTGGCTCCAAGAGCCATGGGCTTCTATCCCCAGGAAGGTTGCTGGGCTCCCCCCGGTCCCCTCCCCCCACAGTGCCAGGCTCGCCCCTCTGCCAGCCTCGGAGCCAGGACTCCTCTTTCTCTCGTGCACTGGGAAGGCAGAGATGAAACCCGGTACCTGCTCACCACAGGCCACACTGGGGAGTTTGAGGCCTGGGACCACACAGTCTGAGAAGAGGAGGAGCAGCTAGAGAATCTTAAAGCTGGGGGTGGGGGAAGGGTGGGGGGGTGGGCAGGAAGGAGCCGAGCTCTCTAGGGAACCAGGCAGCGAGGAGCCCTGGGGTCGGAGGGCCAACGTCCCGGGAGCTGGCCCAGCTCGGTGAAGGGTGCTGCAGGAGCTGCCCTCCCTGCCTGCAGTGGGAATTGGCAGGGGAAGTGAGCACCGCCCAGGGGCCATCCCCATCCCCAGGGGTCTGCATCTGCCCACCCGTGGCCCAAGTTTGGTGAGGGGTAAAATCGCCGGGTGAAGGGGGATGTGGGCAGCATGGGGCCCGACAGGCAGCAGGAAAGAGCCAGAGTGAGTCAGGACCTTGCTGCGCTGGCCCTTCCTCGCCTGGGCCTCTGGTCCAGTCCTCCCCCCACTCACGAATGTGTGTGCCTGCCCCACTCAGCCCCCTCCGCCCCTCCGCCCCATGCAGGACTGCTCCTAAGCAGGTAAACACCAGGGGGGTGCGGCTGGACAGAAGTCCAGCAGTGAGAGAGGAAGTGGCTTATTCCTTCCTATTTTTTTTTTTATTTAAAATTTTTTATTTATTTATTTGACAGAGAGAGACATAGTGAGAGCAGGAACACAAGCAGGGGGAGCGGCAGG